ATATATATATATATATTATAACACCTTGGTGCTTAAAATCTATGCATGAAAAAATATATTTCATTTATTAAGTGCTACCAATGTTATTTTTGAAGTGGTAAATATTTGAGCGTTGTGTTAGTGCGTGTAAATATGAAAGGATAGGTATGAAATGTAAATACATAAGAATTGTGTGCTCCGTATGTAAATGCAACATGTTTATCAGGCAGCTAGTAGGTAGTTTGATAAGTTAAACAAGCGGAATGGAAACAAAATCTTGGCTCATTTGCTTCATGAACCAAATCAAAGCACCTAATTTTGCTTGAACTCGGCATCTGTAATTACAATAACATATCAACATAATCGAAAGAGTAAGACTGTCGATACGATTAATAGCATGAATTTGCAATTGCTAATCCAGTATCCTAGAAAAGATGTGACTTTCATTCAAGTAGCGCATAACTGAAAGTTTATTTTTTAGTTAGTATATTTCAAATCTACATATTAATTTTTAGCTGTAAATTACTGATTTTACGCCAGCCATTCAGTTGGGCTGTCTTTAGACCAGCCATACTATCTTAATTGTCATAGCTTGCTCATCCAAATGGACATGGAAATAATCATTCTTTTTCTGCTTTTGCCAAACTTACCGAATTTTCAACTAAGATTGATATGATATAAAAAAAAACATATCTGACCAAATATAATTTTAATGTAATGTTTAAAATATAAGTTTAGAATTAAATTATAAATCATCCAAACTTTAGTTTTAATAACTATGATAAAATGATTTTTTTTTTTTTTTAATAAGATGAGCCAAACAATAAAAAAGTGTAGTTACTGTAGTACAAATAAGTTCAGGGACAATTGCATACAGGCCACTCGAAACTTGATATTTACAAATCAAGCACCTTCATTCATCCATTTTTCAAATTCTCACTCAAATATCAAAATTCATGGTAATACCCCAACCCATTTTTTTCATTTTTATTTAAGTCTCAATAGCTTGAACATGACACACATAAATACATTAGTTTGGAAGTTCAAAAAAATCAACTTGGTGGTTAATTTATAAATATCAATGTTCCGATGGTCTGTATGTAATTATCCCAAATCAAGAATTTGAAATATAGTTAGATATTTTATGACAAACAGAAAAATTAAATTATTTTTAATCCTATGCTTTAAAGTCAATGTGAGCATCTTTATAAGAGGAATCGAATAAGTCTTAGATTATAAATTTGAGATTATTAAGACAATTAAATATTGATATAGGATGTTTGATTGATGGTTTTAATAATTTGGCTAAATATTTCAGACTATCATTATAAAAAACTTTAAATAGCTTCTTATTTTGCATATGAAGAGCAACATCAACAACAAGCCTTTATCCCACTAAGTGGGGTCGACTACATGTATCCTTTTCTCCTTTACATCCAATTGAGGGCCATATTTTCTTTTAATTCTAATAGACTAAAGCACTAAGACCATTAAAGGTTTCTAATAAGAGATTTTCTTTGTGTGTTTGTATATGTGGTGGTGGTGGAATCATTAATTTTTTGTTTTTTGCATATAGTTGTATCACTACCAGTATCACATAAAGCGTGTATTGGAATAAGTTCATATGTATGAATATATAATTCTACATTAATGTAACTATGAAATTTCAGCAATTCTTTGTATAGTGTTATTGTTTATATCAACCTTTTCGTGGGTAAATGTGATAGTGTGTTGTTGTAAAAAATCCATTCCTAATGGTATTTTAGTTGAATTCTTACCATCGAGGAAGAATAAATAATGAAAATCTATTCTTTGATTATTAATATCCCAAAATTCAAAAAGTATATTGATTCGTGAGTACATGTGTATTCTTGTCCTACATAGTCTTCATAAATATATGTATTATGATTTAAGATATGTAAGTTTGATGGGACCAAATTTTTATTAATGTGCGATTTATGTGCACCGGTGTCGAGTAAAATTGTACATTTGTTTTCAGGAGTAATATACTATTCATATAATAATAATTGATTATTATTATATTATTTTAGGCATGTAATGGTTGATGTTGTTCTAGTTAGATTTTTAGGGTGAGTAATTTCAAGAGATCTTCTTGGTTAGATACTTAATGTATTCCAATTATCAATATAATCTAATTGTGGATATCTTCTACTTCCTAGACTTGAATTTTCACCAAAGTCAAGTAGAATATTTGAAGTTGGAGTTTATTTTAACTCATCTATTTCCTCAGGTTGGATTGTATGTCCTATATGAGAAAATAATGGATCTAAATGTATGGCATCTTTATGTGGCTTAAATGCTATAGTGTTATGTTGATTACTATATGCATAGGCAATTTGATAGGTAATGCTATATACTGTACTTCATTCTCTTAGTTTTATTTTATCAAGTTTATGGCGTAGTATTAATGATCTGTCTAAGTGTTTATCATTAATATTTACAATATAATTAATGTGTAGATTAAACATAAGTGTTTAATAGCATAAATTGCCTTGTATTACTCCTAATAAAGCATCTTTACTTGAATGAATAATTCTGTCATCATAAATCCATATTGTAATAGGACTATCTAAACCTTTTCTAAAATAAGCTTTGATTAGTATTTGAATTCCTCCAAAGAAGATGTGTTTATATTTTTCAGGATTTTTATATTTTGTAGATCTTGTCGTTTTATTTGTTGATTAAATAAAGAAATTCAATTTCTTCCTTCAATATTTATTATGTCTATAGGATGTTCTCCTTGTCTAATACTATAATGAATACTATACCTAAGTCTTTATAGGTCTACCTTTGCTTTCTTAACATAAGTCAAAACTAAAACATCCACTCTCCCAACTAGATAATCAGATAGTCGATGTTTAATGTGACCAAACCAACTACGACGACTCTCTCTTATCTTATCCTCCATTGGACCTACACTAACCTTATCATAGAAAAATTCATTTCATATTTTGTCTCTAAGTGCAAAGCCACTCATCCACCTAAGCATTCTCATCTCATTAACACTTAACTTTGTTTAATGCTTCTCTTTTAAAGGCCAACCTTCTGTGTTATTGAGTATTGGAGCTCTCACCACCATCTCATAAAATTTTCCCTTAAGTGGTACTTTTCTATCACACAATAGGCTCATTGCATTCCTCCATTTCAACCAACTAACTTGAATTCTACTGATAACATCTCATATATATCACCATCACTTTGAAAAATAGACCTGAGATATCTAAAACGTTCACACCTTTTAATGATTTGATCACCCATAGTCGCAACTTTGCCACTAAAGATACTATTACTAAATTCACCTTCTATGTATTCGGTTTTAGATCTACTCAAATGAAGACCTTTAGAATCTAATGTAGACCTCCATAATTTAAGTTTTTCCTGAATTTTTTATCTACTCATATCCACAAGAAGGATATCATCAGCAAAAAGCATACACTAAGGTACATCATCCTGTAAATGTCTAGTAAGAGCATCCATGACTAAAGCAAAAATGTGTGTGCTTAAAGCCGTTCCTTAATGTTATCTAACTTAAATCAAAAAGTATATTGATTCGTGAGTACATGTGTATTCTTGTCCTACATAGTCTTCATAAATATATGTATTATGATTTAAGATATGTAAGTTTGATGGGACCAAATTTTTATTAATGTGCGATTTATGTGCACCGGTGTCGAGTAAAATTGTACATTTGTTTTCAGGAGTAATATACTATTCATATAATAATAATTGATTATTATTATATTATTTTAGGCATGTAATGGTTGATGTTGTTCTAGTTAGATTTTTAGGGTGAGTAATTTCAAGAGATCTTCTTGGTTAGATACTTAATGTATTCCAATTATCAATATAATCTAATTGTGGATATCTTCTACTTCCTAGACTTGAATTTTCACCAAAGTCAAGTAGAATATTTGAAGTTGGAGTTTATTTTAACTCATCTATTTCCTCAGGTTGGATTGTATGTCCTATATGAGAAAATAATGGATCTAAATGTATGGCATCTTTATGTGGCTTAAATGCTATAGTGTTATGTTGATTACTATATGCATAGGCAATTTGATAGGTAATGCTATATACTGTACTTCATTCTCTTAGTTTTATTTTATCAAGTTTATGGCGTAGTATTAATGATCTGTCTAAGTGTTTATCATTAATATTTACAATATAATTAATGTGTAGATTAAACATAAGTGTTTAATAGCATAAATTGCCTTGTATTACTCCTAATAAAGCATCTTTACTTGAATGAATAATTCTGTCATCATAAATCCATATTGTAATAGGACTATCTAAACCTTTTCTAAAATAAGCTTTGATTAGTATTTGAATTCCTCCAAAGAAGATGTGTTTATATTTTTCAAGATTTTTTATATTTTTTATATCTTGTCATTTTATTTGTTCATTAAATAAAGAAATTCAATTTCTTCCTTCAGTATTTATTATGTCTATAGGATGTTCTCCTTTTCTAATACTATAATGAATACTTCTTCATACCTAAGTCTTTATAGGTCTACCTTTGCTTTCTTAACATAAGTCAAAACTAAAACATCCACTCTCCCAACTAGATAATCAGATAGTCGATGTTTAATGTGACCAAACCAACTACGACGACTCTCTCTTATCTTATCCTCCATTGGACCTACACTAACCTTATCATAGAAAAATTCATTTCATATTTTGTCTCTAAGTGCAAAGCCACTCATCCACCTAAGCATTCTCATCTCATTAACACTTAACTTTGTTTAATGCTTCTCTTTTAAAGGCCAACCTTCTGTGTTATTGAGTATTGGA